GTCCTTTTCGTGTGTTTTAAAAAAATCACAAAAATGTAGTAAATGTTTCTGTCAAGCAATGCGCTACTGACCCGGTTAAAAAAACCGGCCAGTTTTAGCAAATACCGGTCCTGTAACTAAAACAATAATTTCATCCGCTCCATACATCTCCCAAACAAGATTTTTAAAATAGCAAATTCCTTAATATTATGTCATTCTATTGCAGTTTATTGCAGACTTTTAGGCTGAATTCTCTGTTACTAAGAAGTTCGCAAGGATTTCTTGCCCAGCCTAGCCTCGGCCTGTTTTAGCAAATACCGGTCCTGTACTAAAACAATAATCTTATCCGTTCCATACATCTCCCAAACAAGATTTTGAAATAGCGAATTCCTCAATATTATGTCGTTCTATTGCAGGTTATTGCAGACTTTTAGGCCGGATTCTCTGTTACTTAGAAGTTCGCAAGGATTTCTTGCCTAGCCTAGCCTCGGACAAAAATGCTGGAAACCCGGCCAGTTTTAGCAAATACCGGTTCTGTACTAAAACAATAATCTCATCCGCTCCATACATCTCCCAAACAAGATTTTGAAATAGCGAATTCCTCAATATTATGTCGTTCCATTGCAGGTTATTGCAGACTTTTAGGGCGGATTCTCTGTTACTTAGAAGTTCGCAAGGATTTCTTGCCTAGCCTCGGGCACAAATGCCGGACGGGTCACACGTTCACCTACAGCACGTTACTTCATTTCAGAATTCGTCCCTTTTTTCCTCGCACTGTAAGCTTGGCAACATTTTATTAGCCGAAGACATCACTACAATTTATGAAAGTATGGTATATTCCTTAGTAACAATATATTTGAAATCCCTCAAAACTTTTATGGTCTCATTACAATTTTGTGGTGTATCTATTTAGAGTAAACAGAAGAGACGCACGGAACCAAAGTTGGACAAACGAAACCTTCCCAAAAACAGCATAGATGTAGACCGTATACAATACTATATATTATAGATTTTTTGATTACGGCGATCAGGCGGTATTTTAGTGTAATGAATACATGTACATTGAAAGACCGATTGAAGTAACTAGCCCTTTTTAACCTCCTTGTATATATATCGCCTAATTTTGCTCGATTTTTTTAATTACGGCGATCAGGCGGTGTTTTAATGTAATGAATACCTTGAAAGACTGACTGAAGTAACTAGCTGGGAAGCATTTTGTATGGAATTTATGTAGCCATTGCAGCAAGATTCTTCTGTTCATGTTTTTTTAATGTCTATTGTTTTATTGTGAAATGCCAGGATGGTCCCAAGCTACCTAACAATGGCTGTCTTGGCACCCCCGCCAATTTGCACTAGGCAGACAATTAGCATTTAATTGGAGCCGCCACCGGCTATGTAAATTCTGACCTAAAATACTAGTAAGCCAATCGTCTCATACCCCGCATGAAACGACAGCCAATCAGTGCTTATGATACAAATTTCAAATCTGTCAGTTGGAGTGGACGTCACTCTATGTTTGAGCATTGCAGAGTGTGCACTGAGCAATCTAATCTTCTATAAAATGTCTACGGTTTCTGGAACCATGAAAAAGGAGACGATGAGAACTTAGCCATTATCCCCAGGGAAAAGTACCTCCCAAGCAGACTCCAAGAGCAAGACTACCGCTAGGCTGAGCAGAAACATGCACGGGGAACCCTGCCAGATAGCCCGACGCCACCCGGCGTCTCTCGCCAAGGACGGAAGATTTTTCATGTAAGCGGTTCATATTTGTTCCATCTGGTTTTTGAATATTGACATGTTGTACATTGAATTTGTTTGCCACTTCCTTTGCCTTGTTTTCGTCGGAAAATATCTAACGAACGATTATGTACCATTTCAGCAAATGGAGAGGGGACATAGAAAGCAAGACAGCCGGACCGGACAAC